ACACACACACACACACACACACACACACACACACAGAGCACTGGTGGAAACAGGGGAGCTGCAGCGCGCGGCTCGGGGACCCGCCGGAAGCAGCAGCAGCAGCAGCGGGAGCTGTGGACGCAGCCCCGGTATCACACCGAGAGCACGAGCGACACTGAGGCGGCCAGAGGGGCGGAGAGGAGGAGGAGGAGGAGGAGGCACCTGCACCGAGACTCGCTCTCCGCCGCTGCCTCCATCGTCAGCTCCCGTCACCCCTCGTTCGTTCCTCTCGGGCCGCCGCCGCTTCCTCGTTAAAGATGGCTGACCCCAACAGCGACGGAGAGGCACCGGAGAGCGCGCGCGGCTTCGCCCGCCAGGGAGCCCTCCGACAGAAGAACGTGCACGAGGTGAAGAACCACAAGTTCATCGCGCGCTTCTTCAAGCAGCCCACGTTCTGCAGCCACTGCACGGACTTCATCTGGTGAGTGTGTGTGTCTGGGAGAGAGAGAGAGAGAGAGAGAGTGTGTGTGTGTGAGTGAGTGAGTGAAAGGACACAGGTGATTCACTTGCTGCTGCAGCAGCTCTCGTCGCCCCCCCTCGCTCCCTCTCTCCCCCCCTCCCTCCACAGCCCAGACACCGCAGTCCTTCACCCACTGTCATTGTCAAAAACACGGCGATGCGCCACTCTCTCTCCCCCCCGGACCTCCACAATGCGACAGCACCGTGGGCCCGTCAGTGGTGTTGCTGGTGGGGGTGATGATGATGATGATGATGATGATGATGATGATGGAGGTGGTGGTGGTGCTTCGCCGAGCTGCAGCCTCTGCTTTGCGGCTGCTGCTGCTGCTCGGCGGTACCGCATCGACCCGACACCCATCCCTGACAGTGGAGATCTGGTGGAGGAATGCAGCTGGAGACACGCAGGGCCCCACTGTTGCTGCAGCAGAGCTGAGCTGAGCCTCCATGTGTGGGATCGGATATCTGTGCCGGGGCTGAAACGATCAGTCGATTAATCGATGGCTCCATTGAGGGGTTTCACTGTTTGATCCACAGATTAAGTTTTTCAATCACCTCTCAAGAAAATATTCACAAATGCCCCCCCCAGAAGAGATGAGCTCATTTTCCTCATGTGTCATTTGGGTTTTCAGTTTTTAAATGTTCGAGATTATCTTCTACTCTTTTAAATCTTACTTAAAGCGCTTTATTATCCTTCTGCTTGTCTTAATGCATTTAATGCCTTATCTTAAGTACTTTGAGTTGCCTTGTTGTTTAAAGGTATTATTCCAATACACACACATATGTTACAATAAACTTTCCAGTTCAGTCAAATGAAGGCTTCACTTACATTCCATAAAGATAATAAAATAATCGTTCATTAATTGTAATCGAGGTGAAAGTTTGAAGTAATTGCGATATTGATTTGTCATATAGAAGGAAATAGAAAAATATATATAAATGGTATAGACATTAATATATACAGTATAGACAGAATATGTACAGTGAAATGTATTGCTCATGAACCATTGAATTGCAGAAAGCCTTAAAAAAAGGCCTGGATCCGTCCTCTGACACGGATCTGCACCAGAACTTTATTGGTACTTCCCCGACCTTTACCACAACCTTCCACCAAGTTTTGTGGAAATCCGTCTTGTAGTTTACGTGTAATCTCAAACAGATGGACAGGTGTTGAAAACATAACCTCCTTGGCAGAGGCACTTAATGATTGATTGATTAATAATCGTAGTTGCAGAAGTACGTGTGTGCATGAGTTACTGTCCGGTTTTGACCCCCCACCCCCACCACACACAAAAAATCTCACTTTCCTATCTTCTCTCCACAGGGGCTTTGGGAAACAGGGATTCCAGTGCCAAGGTAAGAGCAGTAGCTTATTCACAAATCTTGCTGCTGCATATTGCTGTGAGTGTGTGGACGGATGTTCGCTGCCTGAAGGAGTGTGTGTGTGTGTGAGTGAGTGTTGTGGTGACGGCCGCAGGTCTGCACACTGTAAAGAGTGACCTGTTGGCCCGTTGGTTGACGGCGTGTTGTTGTTGTTGGCAGGCAGGTGTCAAACTCAAAGCAGATGCTTGCCAACAGTGATAAATGAGAGTGAGAACACTCAAACGGGCTCAGGCAGAAGACACCGTGTGAGATGTAAGAGTAGAAGAGTCGGCGGAGAGGTGAAAACTGAGATGTCTGGTTTTGGCCGAGCAGAGGAGGGGAGGAAGACGGAGCAGGAAGTTAGACTCCTCGAGCTTTTCTCCAGCCTGACATCTGATTGGATTTGTGAAACCGTTGAGTTTGTGCGTGGGCGGCTGGCGATGTGTTTCTGTGGGTGGGCGGCTGTTCGTGGTTGTAGCGACTGGGTGGGTGGGCGTCTAGACACGGACCACTGCACAAAATGTTTTCATAAACAGGCCCCTTTGCAGCACCATATTGACACCCCTCAATCACATGCACGCTAACTGTACTGCAGCAAATATTGTCACCGTGCTTGTAGTATCACTTCCTCCTCCTCGCTGATGCATGTCAGACACCCACTTAAACTCCTCTGGCATGTGACCAGATCAGGGAAGAAAAAGTGTCCAAATTCCGCTCTTGCAAAATACTTCATTGAAGAGTTGTGTAAAATTTTGCATTATTTATTTATGAGCAGTAAAAAGATGAAGTTCCCCTCGGCTGCAGGGCTGTTCACAGCTCGGGGGTGATATACAGGAAGTGCACGGGGGGCTTTAAGAGGGAGAGAACACATTTATATGCACAGTGCCCTGTACTGAAATAGTGTGTGGTGAGTTGCCCTAAACTGGTAACACATCGTGCACAGCACATGCAGGTTCAGGACGCACGGACCAATCCGAGCTGTGCACAGGTCGAGCTGCTGTCAGGTCAGGTTTCGTGGTTAGTTTCCAACAGTTAACTGATAACTCTTACGTTTACTGACTGTCTCTCATACAGCAAACTGGTCTGAGGGCTGTTTGCTATGTTATCAGGCAGTGATCAAAGTTCCCATGGGAGGTATAAAAAATATGAATCAAATAGGTCAGTAAGCAATGCAACAATTAAACAACAGATTTATTTACATAAAAATAATAATCAATTATGTGATTATTTTCCCAGCAAACATTCACAAGTCTGGTTCTCAAGGGTGAAAACTCAGTTGTTGTCTTGTTCTTATATGAAAGTATATTGGATGTTTTTGAGGGGGGGGGGGCAACTGTTGGTCTGTAAAGCGAAACATTTCATGAGTTATTTTGTCATGTTCTATAACCAAGGCAATTCACTGATGACAAAAAGTATTTGCACAATTTAACCTGATCCATTCTTGCTTATAATTGTGTAAGTGGGTTTTATGCAAACTACATGAAACTATTTCATTTTGCTGACTCTATCTCAAAGTGTAGTATGGTTCCTGTTTTCACCTGGATGTCTGAACAGGAAATATTTATTTAGAATTCTTATATATCTACATTAACAAATCTTTGCAGTTTTCAGCCTCTTTAAGGCTTAAACCTCATTTATTTGTTCCCTTTCTCGAGAGTTGGAGAAAAGTGATAAAACGAAGTTAAGACTTCAGTTAAACCACAAAAGAAGGGGTGCATTTGTTTGAAAAGTTTTTTCTGATGTGAGGAATAGGCTGTAAATTAGTCCAACTTGATAGAATCTTTGGTGATTAGTGAACAGGAAATACTTCGGATGTGAGCGGGGCAACAGGCTTTCTGGGATGCTTGGTATTTACAGTGAAGCTGTAAACAGGAATTATGTAATTTCCATATATGGGTCAGAGAAATCTTCACCTCAGATAATCGTACTAATCTGTTGATGTGCAGGATGAAGGAAATGTTTAGTTCAGAGCAGTTTGAGTCCTGTTCATTTAAAAACATGTTTACATTTACAGTGATGCATTTCCCCTTAATGTGACCTCTCTGAAGAGCTGTTTTCTAACATGCAAAGACAAGTATTCAAATAGCAGCTTTGAATAACAAGATAAGTCTAAGTGCTTTAGATGATGCAAGATAAGATAAGATATTACTGGATTTTCCTCCAGTTAATTTTATCCCATTTGCGAATCATGAAGAAATATTAGGAACAAAAACGTTTCTGTAAAAGTCCACAGAGGATCATTTTATAGCTGTTCTGCATTTTAGGGCTCCTCGTCCACATTTGCTTAAATGTTGAGACTGCAAGTTTAATTTTGACCTTGGAGGAAGCATTTGGCAAAACATCCTTACGTCAACAGCTATTGTGGAGCTTTTGGCTGCATCACGGTGGCTGTTACCAAGGTCAAGAATATATTTTGAATTGAAGATTATTTGAATATGTTGTAGCAGAACGTAGCGATAAAATGCTAAAGCTGGAGAAATTTAGGTTGGACAGTTTGATTTTGAGGAGTTTCAACAGGATTTGATTGTGTGATTGAGTTTGTTTCAACTTAAGCTTCCCAGTGAAATAGAGTCATCTCAACGTGTGGAGGCTGTGGTTATATGAAACCTAGATACTTTTCACAAACTGTTTTTACCACGTGACAGTTTGGGTCATTTGAAATGTTCCAAAATGTTCCTTTATTTTACCAAACATGAGAGAAATATGCGACTCGTAAACAAGAAACAGTGAGTGAACTCTGGTGTGTTAAAGAGAACAAGGTCCACACACACACACACACACACACACACACACACACACACACACACACACACACACACANACACACACACACACACACACACACACACACACATACACATAGCATCAGCACTCTTGTGTTGGTTTGGAGGAATGTCAGACATCTGGTGCAGACTTGTTCTGGCATACCTGTCCTGCACGTAAAGATTCTCCTTTTCTTCTGTTTGGTGTTCAAGTTATTACATCACGTGAGCCGTGGGTTAGTTTGACAAGAGGCTTGAAAGAAAAATCCACTTTTTTCACACTGAGAACTTTTTAAAATGCATTCAATCATTGTATTTACAAATCCCTACAAATGTGTTGTCATGTGGTCCCAAGCTATCTGGAAGTTTTGTGGAAGTGCACATCTGTATTAAAAAAGTAGCTCTGAAATATTGATCATGATGTCGATACCATGGCAAAGGTCAAGGGTTTAAAGTAATTCAGGTCAGCCCTTGTCAGCAGAGACACGTATATGAACGTATTTAAAATCTCATCTTCACTTTATTTGAAAATAGACACTTGAGTCAATAAGAGTCAACAGTCTCATTAGAGAGTCACAGCGGTGCTTTGAGTTAATCATGCTTCGTGCTCACAGAGTTAAGCTGGTGTAACGTGTATTAAGTCCACCTTCTTCATAACAACTTGTTTTTTAGCTGCAGATTAACACAATATAAGCTGAGGCTGAAGAGACTTTCAATAGTTTTGCAGTAATTGGTCATAAACCAAAGCACTTGACAAACCAGGACCATGTAGAAATCCACTGACCAGAAATGTTTTTTATTAGGGAGGTGTGTTTCTCTTATTGTATAATTCTATCCCTAAAAGTTTACAGGAGTAAGACATGCTTTGGTCTGATTGTCATCAGAGTCCGACCGATTTACCAGTTAGCCAATATTATCAGAGCATTTCACAGGTTTCATTTCACAAAATAAAGAATCCAGAAAAGATTCCCATTTATGCTTATATATATTTTAATCAAGTTGATGGTCAAACTGTAAAACATCAAGCTGTTATTGTTGATCTTTAATCAACAGTTGAAATAGTATCTTTGTTATTGACTGTGTGACAAGCGAGCGTGTCCAAAATATTGATCATAGTATACGTTAGTGACACCGTCCACAGAGAGACGGGAGAAAACAAGCTCGTATTTTAAGAGAACGTCTGTCAACAGTTCTGCCTCCCATGAGGCTCTAGTGTTCTTATCTGTAATTACGAGAATGAGTTATCAGGTTTGTAATGTCTGTTGGGACTCTAATAATATATAATGTGAGAAGTTGTTCCTCCTCTACCTGTATAAACAGGCAAATATTGGCTGCACACAGATTTTTCAGTGAGAGCTTTTTACTGGCTTGAGGATTGTCAGGATGGACTCGATGACCCATGTTCCGTAGTGGACAGTTAACCAGTGACTTTAACTCTGTTCACTTCAAATCATAGCTCTGATTCCATCCATCCATTTAATTCTCCTGATCCGGGGGTTGAGGCGGGTTCCAGACATCCCTCTCCTCAGCAACGCTTTCCAGCTCCTCCTGTGGGATCTAGCGTCGCTCCCAGGACCGATAGATTATGTAATAATAACTTATAATCCCTCCACAGAGTTCTGGGTCTACCCCAGGGTCTCCTCTCAGTAGTGTGCGTTCTCTTCCTCTTTATAGAGAGAACATGCTGAAAGGCGAGGACATACATTACAACCCTTGATCCAATTATGAATATGATTTGGTTTTGATGTCTACTTGGACCAAGTTGCGCTGTGTCCGTTCCAGTCTGGGTCAGTTGATGTTGACACACACGAGATTCATTAATATTGTTGCTTTTTTCATCTTGACTTCCGATCCAGTTACTTTAAGAATTTTCAATATAGCGCAAGAGGGGAGTCGGTGCAGCGTCAGCAGTAATGTGGGAATAGCAATTGAGCAAAAAAAAGATTAAGAAAAGATGAGATTGCAAATATGAGCGGCTGAAACGAGCTGTCTTTCCTTTGTCCATTTCTGTTTGGACGTCCCGGGGTTGCTCGGAGTAGAACCGCTGCTCCTTCACGCTGTAAGAGGACAGATGATGGTTCAGGCATCTAATCAGGATGCCTCCAAGGTGCCTTTTGTTGGAGGTTTACAACGCATGTGGGAGGAGACCTAGAGGTCGATCCAGAACTGGCTGAAGGGATAACATTTCTGATCTGGTAACACCCCCAGGAAGAGCTGGAAAGCGTGGCCAGGGAGGATGTGTCTGGAAAACAAGCCATTCTGTGCAGCTTGATTGGACTTTTGGGTCCTGTCGGAGGTGTGCGCTCTAGTTTCTGTCTTGGTTCCTCTAAAGTGCAGTCAAAATAGATATGACTCGGACTCAGCACTTGTCAGAGTTTTTAGAGAGCTGCATGTTGAGGCCTGAGTGGTGATTACAAGTGCGTCCATCTGTGATTTGCGGACTGGTAGTCATCCAACATGGAGGAACTTCCTGGTGCTCCTGTTGATGTGAAACAGTCGGCCCGCTGTCGTCCTGGCAGCTCGTGGCAGGAATGGCTTTCGGATCGCCTCCGATTTGCTGTTAACGCCATCAGTCAGATGAAACGGGGTGGCGAGCGTAGACTCGACTGTACGGCTCAGCCTGGTTGCCAGGCAACAGGGCAAAGACCTCCTCGGCAGGTCACTGGGCCTGTCTTTCAGGAGTGTACACACAAGTGTGTGTGTGTGTGTGTGTGTGCTCGTACAGGTGTGTGCATGTGAATGACGGAGCAGATTTATGAACAAAAAGCTGTAAAGTGCGACTGCATTCCTCCCTGTGTTTTCTCCTGCGCCTCTTCTCTCTCTCTCTCTCTCTGACACACAAATGAATTCTCCACCCCCTCACATCGCCTCAAACCCAGCTGTGCCCCATCCCCTCCTGCCCACACACACACACACACTCACTCTCACTCTATTTCTCTGTTTGACTTTATTTCTTATTCACTTTCTTTTCCTCTTGTCGTCTGTCTCTCAGTCTTTTTTTGTTGTTTCCTCTTTTTAAAACCACTCTCCTCTCAGTTTCTGTTCAGTGCTGACAGAGTTCAAGCAGATTGCACCCTGTTAACCTTCTTCACACCAACTTACTGTCGTCTCTGGTCTGTATTTTGAATTAAAACGGCACTAAACTAAATTTACTGCTCGTCTGGGTGTCCACTGATGCGACACCCCCCCACACGCTGTCTGTTGCTTAACCGCGAGAAACCCGAGGAAAATGCCGGCAGTTGCCACGGTGCCTCATGAAAATGTAACGAGATTGTGAATAATTAAGATTAAACCAGAGCTGTGTGTGTGTGTGTGTGTGTGTGTG